AATACTAATATATATAAAATAGATTCCATCTCGCGTAAATTTGGATTCATCGGTCCATAAAATGCATGACAGAAATTGCTAATCTGCACCATGATTTTTAAGTAACCACTGACAAAAGTATGACTTTTATTGTAAACCTAACTGTGTAGACACTTTTTGATTGTTGTCAATGTTTGTAAACACTGTCCACAAAAAAATGTTATACCAAAATATTTTCTTCTTTTTTAACATAGAATCATCCCCTGCCCGGTTATACTATGATTTCCGACCCACCCTGTATAATAATAACAACTATTTAATACTCAAGATTTTGTTAACGGACGTATAATTACAGGGCCAAGAGGTCCAAACCTTAGATAGTAATGCGGTTATAGGCCCAGAAGGCCCAAAATTTGGACAATGAAAACTCAATATCTCAAAAAGTTAATATTTTTACACTCACCTCGTGTGCTTGGTCCTCAATGCTCCTTAACACGGCGAGGTTTCTAATCGTCGCCCTGCGAGACTCGAACGAGGATTCCAGCCGCGCCGCTGCTTTGCTCACTTCCTCCACCAACCTCCTCGCTCGTTTCACCGACAACCTGAAGACAAAACAAACAGTAAACGCAAAATTATTAGAACTTCTATTAATTATTAAAACGAAATAAATAGTAAAATTGCTTTAATTCTATAAAATGAAGATTTTTGATTCTTTATTGCAAATATTGACATTTACTTGATGTAATCGAGGTGAAAGAGAGGAGCCGCGCGTTCCTCTAGAACAGAGATCGCATCTTCGGCGTCCCTAGATGTCCTCCTGAGGTTTGGATCAGTCAGAAGCCGACCTAATGGCGTTAATGCGCTTGAGAGACTACCGGACTCCTTCAGCTCCGACATTTCTAGGGCCAGCCTTCGACCCGCGGCCTGCCATTCCGTCATTAAGCAGTCGTACTCCTGCAATGATTAAAAATGTGAATTTAATAGCAATATCGACTTCTTTCCATTAACTGACTTATTTTCTCTGCATTATCAACCCGCCATTTTGACTGTTTTGATAGTTCTAGCTATATAGTTGCCAGTTCTCTTAATTGCGAAATGGTTGAATTACCTTATAAAACGCGATCCACTGCGAATGGTCGTAGATATGCTGCTGGTACGTTGGAATGTAGTCCTTCAGTCCCTTTTCGTCCACTGTAATAGTCTGAACAAAAGAGGGAAAAGAAATTTTTTATATATGAAACATTCTGGAAAGAACATTTTTGTGCTATGATAAATGGCTATATCTTTGATTTTGGTGGGCCTATATGGGACCCATTTTAAAGCTGAGGGTTATGGTTATAATATAACTTAAAATGTGGTGTGATATTTCGAACAATAACTGAGCTATCGTAGGTTAAATCCCATTTTTGTACATTCTGGAGTGTGACTTATTAAATATTTTGGGCCTTACTAAGGACTTCTATATAAATAATTATATCTCTTCTATTGGTGCTAGATGACTGCGATGGCTCAGTTTAAAGTTGGAAGAACCAATTATAATATACTTCAGTATTATTAAGGCACAACAATGATCTATAAGTCTCTAAACAATTAGATTTCAATAAACGGATGAGAAAGACTATTTTTATTCGTATTAATTACATTCGTATTTTTAATGAAGGAGGATCGTAACTCATGTCTCACTAATTACCTTGACGTGTCTTTGTATTAATTGATCCTCATTGGAATCGTCGCTTTTCAAAACCAACGCCTGGAACACATCAACTCGTCCCTGAACAAAACAATCATCTGAATTCAATGTTCCCATTCTATACTTAAAGTCTAATAGCGTATTAATTTTACCTGTACAAGATTTAAGACCCCGTCGACAAATTCAACGCCATCATATGTGAGGCTCCTGATTAGAATCGTGTACCCGTTTCTCACGCTTTCGGAACTAAAACGAGAATTAAGAAAGCTCATTAATAATCAATTAGATCGAACGAAGCAGCAATTGATTCAATTACTTCGTCATTTTTGTGGGCCTTGCAATTTTTTAGCATTATATATTTGGGGATTTATCATTTGGGCCTTATATTTTCGAAAACTTATATTTTTTGGACATACATTTTTGAGGCCTTATATTTTGGTACTCATATTTTGGGCCTTATTTTTGGACAACACTAGTAGTATCTAGCAATTACTTAGTAATACTAAGTAGCAATGAATCGACTCACCTGGGTAAACGAGTTAGATACAACAAGAATGACGCGACATCCTTCGCTGTTAGGCCCTCTCTCCGGGCTCCGTCGTCCAGAAAGTCGAGTACAGGTCTGCCATCCACATCGACGCATCCTGCAAACAAAATAATTCAACCTCAACAGAGTTATTGAAAAATAGAGCAAATTGTGGGTTAAGTAATTTAGCTGGAGATCGACTTTCACCGCACTACTTAAATGTAGCATGCGATGGCCCCGGCGGGCCCGGGAATCATCGGAATGACTTCATCTAGACACGGGACTTTCGATTCCCACGAAAACGATCTTCCGCCGAGTGAAGATTTTCCGTTTCCCAGTGGATCGTATTACGCTATCGTTTGAGAAACTGGATAAAGTAGAGACGTTAAGGTTGGGATTCAGGGTGTGGTTTGATTCGCAGACGATGTTCAACCCTTAGAAGTCGATTTAGGTAAAATTGTTAGGCACACTAAATTAAAATACAGAATTCAAGTTTAAGTTTAACGCGTAAATACATTAAATTAGTTTATTATTGATCTATTTAGCAGCAATTGAAGTTGAGTTACAACTGAAGATCAAATCAGGAAGGAATAATTGAATAAAATTTTGTCTTATCAAGAGGAATAAATGTTTTTCCTAATATATAAAAAGCTTTGTACTGTATGTCCAAGTCGAATTGTTGTACCGTTCGGGAAATCGAAGGGATGGTCTTTATAATGGGGTCGTGTACGAAATGAATGATCGATTTCTTTACCGGGTAGCGTGAGGCCGCAGACGAGAACTCGTTCTGGCAAGTCGTGAATGGAACGGGCCGCCGCTGCCACCTCGTCCCTCCTCTTCGTTCCTGAAACAACCGATACATCTATCAGTCACATACACTCCTCTAAACTTCTTTTTTGTGTAGATTGCGTATCGTGTCTTATTAAGTGTTTTACTAAAATGACCATAACTACGGTTCTGTTGGGCCTACAGAGTGCTATGCGGTGTCATTTTAAAGTTGGAGCTCCAATCTGTAACGTACTTGAACCGGTTACTCAGCAACAGATATGATAGGAAATAAGCGAAGTACAAAGATTGCTCATTATTACAAAATCAACTCAAATATATAGGCAACTCAAATACAATTCATCTAGCAACTCAATACCCCAAGATATCAGTTATCCGATATAGAACATACGATGGTAAAGAATCGTCCCTTTACACTCCAGCAAACGTGAATGGAAATATATCATATAACGTAGCAATTCTATTCTGTTAAATTCCCATGCTAGTAAATCCAAGTATCCAGCACCATCGAAGGGGATTTGTTTTTACTCAATTTATGCAAATTTATCTATCCAACATGATCAAAAGCGACTTCATTGTTACACAATTTACAAAAATTGAAGACGATGAGTAGAGTACGAATGAGTCAAATGGGACACGATGCTCGGAGTCGTATAGTAGCCAGGAATGATGAGGTGGCGGAAGGAGGAAACCGGTTCGCAGGTCGAGATTTGTTTGACGCATTAACCCAAATCTGAAGAGGAATCCCCTGAAGTGTGACAAAGTGGCGTGAAACGTGATTCGATCCACCTGATCAGCAAAGAGAGACGCAAATAACATTCAACTATGTATCTGTTAATTTGTTATAAAAATTGTAATATCTCCAGATCTGTTACTACTAGGAAGTTCCATAGGGTGTTGTTTTAAAGCGAAAGCCTTATACTATAATATACATATTTCAGACCCAACATCATACTTCAAATAATAATTGAGCTATACTTCTCCAAAATTCATTTTTGTAAATTCTGGATTGAGACTTGCTAAGTATTTTACTTAACTGGCTATATCTCCGGTTCTATTGATCCTAAAAGAGTCATTGGGTTTTGTCGTAAAATCAAACCTTCAATCTACAACTAAGCATACCAAAGTAAATACCAACTGAACATCCTTAGACATACATTCTGGGTCTCGTCTTGTTAAACTAATTGTAAGACCTGTTGCACTTCCCATTCATCAAGCCATTGATAAACGCTATCCGAGTTCTCAGAAAAGAAACGTAATCAAACGATAACAGTTGCCTCGCTTTGTCTCCGTGACCCTAGGAGATTGACGGAGTTCAAGAAACCGTGTAGAATTCGTCTTCACCCACTCGGCCGCGTCGGTCTTTGCCGACAGGTACCGAAAACGTTTCGCCCACGTGCAGCCATTAGCGGCGCGTTTGTGGCTTTCGGTATTCGTCCCTTTTCAAAGCTTCTATAATAACATGACGGCAGCGTAGGTGAACGAGATTTCACGCATAGAAACCATTTTGTACAGTCAACGAAAATCGAATGACGAGGACTGGTTTCGACTATCGAATTCAGGATGTTTGTAGCGGAAGGAGATATCTGGGGCTGCTGATAAATGATATCTTCAACGCAGCTGCGCTCCCTTCCCACGAACTTTTATCAGTCTTCTCGGTAGCCAAGTACAATAGAATTGTTTGATGAGATCACCTAATTTATTCAGCGATGTTTAATTGAGAAGCGAATGTGTATGAGGATTAGGGGAATCTGTTATGGTATGCGCGGAACGTGCAGCTGTGAGGAGAATCCAAGTATCCATTTATGCTCACTCGGTTAAGATTTCCGTGTTCCTTCGGCTGTGGAGAGTCGATGGAATCGGGTCAGGTTAGGTTCTCATTCGACGTCGATTTCCGGCTTTTAGAAGTTAATTTAGGGAAAATGGCGAGGACACGAATTAAAGTGGAGAGTTCAAGCTTTAATTTGAGCTATGAACGAAGTAAATCGATCGATTATTAATGAGAAGATGGACGATTGAAGTGTGGACCAATCACGTGTAAGAGGCGGGGCCACTACACTTTTTCGCTAATAACTTTGTTAATAATGATCATAGAGAAAAATTAAAACGGAACATTTTACTTTAAATTTCATCCTCTTTCATGGACAATTCTGGGACACCTTATATGTTGTGAAATCGAGTTAGCCAAGCCGGGATCAGGAAACGAATGCAAATGATTGGAGTCTGACAATAATTGAAACTAGCGTGCGCCCCGCATCTTCAACACCGATACTTAATATCAGGCCACGGAATCAAGCCATCTAACTCAATTGTCTTCGCTAGAAGGGAATTAAGGGCCCGGGGATTAATCCAATTTATTTGCCGCGCCCCCTCCCCCAATACCTCCCGGGGATAATCGAATTGGCATCAAATGAAAAATCGATCGACCGTTTAGGGTTTCGTCAAATTAATTCATTCAACTCTCCGGTCGGTTTAGCAACCTCTTGTATTTATCAATAGTCTGTTTCACGCTTTCAGAGAGAAGTTGTGCATTCTACAGATGACCCAATACAGTGAAAAATGATGAAATTGTGAGTAAAAACTTTGGTCTCAGAATTTATGTTCTTGCACTTCCCTATTAAAATTCAACAAAGTAATAATAGACTCACCGAATCCCATGCGCACCTCCTCTTCATCGTCGCTATCGATATGCTTGATCCCGGCGATTTCAAAGCTCCTCCCTTCATCCTTCACCAAATCATTATCCTCATCACCAGCGCACTTGCAGGCCAACAGAGGGTCGTCCGTATCAATATTCCTACATGCCGGACAGGGGAACGTGAAATTGTCCAAGGAAACCCTTTCAATCTTCCTCTCAACGGACACTAAGAGATTGCCAATAAACGCAGGCAACTCTTCGTCATTCACATCATCGACATGTCTTAAATTATTCAATCTATCCTCCAAATCCTTCTTATTGTCCAATGCTTCTTCCAGCCTTGAAGGTGTCTTCAAATCCTCAGGCTTCAAACTCTTGCTCTTGGTCTCGTACCGATTGGTTTCCTTCCACTTTTCCATGGTGCTAGACAACACCACCTTGGCACATCGGTTTACGTTCACCCGAGTTTCATTGTTAGAGGGACTAGAATCGTTCTCCTCCCAGTTACCGACGCTGGACGTCGATCTGGACTTCGTCACAGCGTGGCCGGCGTCCGGTTGATCGGTCTTCCATTCCAGCCGGTCGATGGAACGAGTCTCCTCTCTGTTGACTCGGTGATGGTGGTGGTGGTGGTTTTGGTCGGTTAATGAGGATTTTCGGACGTACTCGCGGGACCTTCGCCGGGGTCGCATGCTTCGTGACGGTTCGGATGTTGACGGGGCTGGGGAGAGCTTCTGCGACACCTGCCGCCAGTCCATGAACTCCTCCTCGCGGTCCCAACCGAGGAACCGCGGGGCCCTCATCGACGTCGCTCGCCAAACCACTGCAATCTGCGATAGAAGAGGTTTTTATACACAGTGGCGAATACAGACCTTTAACACTATTTCTACCAAGTGGTGTCAAAAGACACTTTTCAAATTTTAACTTCAAACTATTCTCTAAGTCCAGTTATTTCTCCACAACTAATTTTTTTACTTTTCGTACAATACTTGTTAAATTAATTCAGTGATATCATTTTTCTCCAGTTCATCCTGGATCTAAAAATGTGCATATGGTACATACAGGGTGTTCCGTAAAGGGTGTAAGAGCCGAAAATGGCAGATAGGGAGGGTCTTCCTGAACAACAATTTCCTTTGGCAAAATGCAGAATGGGGCTTGGTTACCGAGTTATTAACAAAAAACACGGACCAATCAGAGCGCTCGGTCTACGCGGGCTCTGATTGGTCCGTGTTTTTTGTTAATAACTCGGTAACCAAGCCCCATTCTGCATTTTGCCAAAGGAAATTGTTGTTCAGGAAGACCCTCCCTATCTGCCATTTTCGGCTCTTACACCCTTTACGGAACACCCTGTATACATATACCTGTTTCTACCATGAGGTGTCTTTTGACATCTTACGGATTTCATAACAGTGTCTAATTTTAAACGATTTTATACGTAAATATCAATACCATTTTGCAGCATAATATCGATTATAATCATATTAGAGAACCCCGTTTGCAGTTGTAACGGAAAATACAGGAGATGTTGCATAACTTTGATATTCGCTTGTTTTCCCCCATGTTGCATTTTAGTGCAGATTATTGCAGTGACTAGTTCTAAAAAGATTGAATTACACCTTTTGTTCTTCAATTCTGGTAGGGAATTCAATACGCGTAAATTTTGTTTTTTTTTATCTATAAAAATCATTGTAACCTTTTTCAGCACTCCTTATTCTATACTGAGAAACGATTATGTATAAAGTCTCTTAAAATTATTTAATAGGAAGTCCAATCTAATTAGGTCATACTTTTGAGAACGAATCTCAGAGTCACACACATACACACACTCAGATACTATAAACAAAATGGCGATAAGAGCCATACTTCTTGAGCATTGGGTATTGGGAATTTACACATTTACCATGACCTCTCGTGGCGAGCAGTAGAACTAAACGAAGCCAGGCGCAGAACGATCAAAAACTGAACTGTGCCCGGTCCTAGACTCTCAAGACTCTCAAGACGAGTATAATTCCTGGCTTCGCGTCGCCATGATGGTTAGCTATACATATCTATTGATCCCGCCCCTGTGTCAATACCCAATACGACCGTTCAGTTTAGTTAGAATTTACAACCTGATTAGATAATCTCTAATGAATACGCATCAATAAATATATTGCTCAAATTATTTATATTTTACTGACAATTTGAAATCCCGACAGTTTTGACAATTATTTGCAGGTGTCAAAAGACACCGTCTGGTCGAAATAGTGTGAATAAATATGAAGGATAAAAAAGTGATCTTTTACAAATTATTAAAGTAACTTTTTTATATGTATTTATTTTGGCCATTTTAGTGTGCTCATATTTTGGGCTTTATTTTCGCCATTTTAATAGGTCTATTCTTTGGCAAATTCTGTAATGGGCATGGTAAACTATTAGCAACTGTTCTATATGGATCCAGGCTGTTATAGTAGTTTTAGATTTTCAATTCTAGATCATAGTTTTACCATTGCTTTGCGACTTACCTCAATTTTCGTGGGTGCAGAGTCTGAGTCGTGGCCGCTCGCGGCCCTGACACAAAGGTAACATTCCCCAAGCCTCAACGACGAGGTCTCCAACTCACCCAACTGTAGAATGAGACCTCGTTTGGCTAGGGTCAACGGCCAGCCCTCCGGTACCACCGACTCGTTGCCCTAAAACAATAAACAACGATTCACATTTGACAAATTGTTCAGAGAGAAGCATAGAAGAATTGGATATCTCTTATATCGTAAATTGCTTAAAGTAGATTCGTCTTCAAATGTTATACCTAATTCGTTATGTACTGTATAGGCATTTAACAGTCTCAAGAAGATGACAATTAACGATTGGACGAAATAAGAGAATACATATATTATTAGATATTAATAACTTGTACCCATAACTGTAAGGTAGAAAGCCTGAAACGTCATATCTTTTGAAAGACGACGAAACTCTGAGTAAAAAGTTCCTTTTCCATTTTTTTTTTACGATCACTATTAACGGACTTATTAACAAAAACGTCGTGGACCAATCGCATGCCAGAGTCGGGGCTTCTATACTTTTTCGGTAATAATTTCGTTAATAATGATCGTAGAGAAATATGGGAGAGGAACTTTCGATTCAGAATTTCATCCTCTTTCACATCCTTAGAGGAAAATCGTCCATTCTGGGACACCGTATATATTCGAACATAATAATGATAATAATAATTATAGTGAAATTGTTTTTAGACAGTGCGTCACCGATGCTGATTCATAGGCAATGAATCCACTCCACCCATTAATTCCTCACCCAGGAATTCCATTGTGCTCTATCTACCGAGTATTGACAAGTGATAAATATATACGCCGGGCAAAAATGAAAGGGCAATTCCGATTCGGTGCGATCGTATCGCGAAAAATCGTGTTCCCACGCGCGGATCGTGTCGCTGATCGGGCCAACCGGATCAGATCGGACCGCGGGGAATGTGGCTTAATTAAGTACGGAACGTGTCGCGTGCCTCGCTGCTCTTTTCAACCCGTTTGCATCGTACTGAAATATTTCTGGTCGGTTGCAGAGATTACTTTCAGGCTTGAGAAAATTACTGAATGCACGATTGTCAGCGATTTTTTTCTAAATTTTTTACCTGATGTGATCGGAGAAATTAAATATAAAACCATCGAAATTGATGTCTAGCGTAAGAGTGATTCAGAGTTCGGAACAGAATTTACAGAGAACGCACCGTCTAAACAGGATGCGAGGGGGAAGAATTAACAAAGAAAGTCTGAAACACATTGATTGCCGGTCTGCCGAAGCGATTAAAGGCGATTAGCTAAACGAGAAGCCAGCCAACAGTTTAATAACATCAGATTCTGATGAAATCCGTTGCCCAGCTGGCCATCTGCCGGAGGAAAGTCTCCTACGCTAATAGCGGCATAAATATCTATCATAGATAACCGAAATCACGCTTTCACGCGTGCCGAAAAGATGAGCACTGCTGTTTTAATGAACGGTTCGCGTGCGGCCAGACGTTTCTCTCGTGTCGCACTAATTAACCATGTAAAGGAGAAAGTGTCGAACATTTTCTTGGACACCTGCCCAACGATAAATCATCCAACTCAATATGATACGGAATCCTCTTCCTGATTCAATTAATCACTCGATAGAGATATTTTAGACTGTTCAATTGATAAATAGCCAAACAGATTGAATCAATCAGATCCAATCGAAGTTACATACAGGGTGTCTTAGAATGAATTTACTTCGTGAAAGGGGACGACATTGTGAACAAAAAGTTCCATTTTCATTTTCCTTTACGATCGTTACTAATGAAGTTATCAACGAAAAAGGGTGATAGCCTCGCCCCTAACACGTGATTCGCCCATATTTTTTCGTTAAAAAATTTGTTAATAATGATCCTAGAGAAAAATGGAGTAGAAATTTTTTGCTCAGAATTTCATCCTCTTTCCCATTCTCGTTTTAATATTGTACATTCTGGGATACCCCGTATAGGGATCACTATAATTGATTTCAATCCGAATTCCTGCGGTGTGAAAATCGAATTCGGTAGTGAAAGGCACGGCCATTTTTCATAGATACATCTGACGTGAAATGGGGCTAACACGTCGGTGACAGCTAACAACCAGACCTACGCTTGCTCTTATCGCGTCCATCATAAATTGCTGATGAAATTCAACGATAGCCCTCCATTTATCAGGAACGTTACGTTTGGCTTAGGTCATGTTCACCACAAGTGGCAATTCTGTCAACTATCGAAAATGCTGACGAAATTCAACAATAATCTGAATTTTTTCACAACTATCCTCATTTTTGGGACGTTGAAAGATTATTAAGAAAGAGTCAAGTTTAGCCTTTTCAGGCTTGATCCAGGTCAGGCTAAATTTAATCTCCGGTTGACCTAGGTCAGGCTGACTTCGGTCTACGTTGACCGCAAACGACCTTTTTGTCAAGCGTCCAAGGGACACGGACAACCGCAAGTTAAAGGAAATGTTGTGGGACTGATAAAAGGTCCCCAGTCGTATTTCACGCGGCGCTTATGAGCGTCCCGCGGCTTTTACGCTAGCGACGTCGTTTCGAACAATGAAAACGGCACCACTGAAATATTGTAATGGCGCGGCGTGATGCATCGGCCCGCTGTTTCCCGTTCTCACGCGTTCCCACAGATAGTTACCGGAAGCGTAAGTCCCACGAATGCCAATTCTTCGTATCAAAAAGGACCCGTTTCTATTTTAAGCCGATCGAATCACATCAAAGCATTAATCCTAAAAACTAATGGGGTCATTTATAACTCGGTAACTTTATTGGGCCTAATTTTGGAACTCTTAATTTTGGGACTTTTAATGGAATTATATTTTGAACCCTGTTAAGTGGGCATACATTTTGGGGACTTTTTAGTGGTGCTTATAATAATGGTTCATATTTTCGGCTTTATTTTTCCAAATTCTCGATCCACCGACCTTTTCTCCAAAAAGCAAGGATTAATCACGGTTAATTAGTTGAGAGCGCGAAGGGAAAAGGACACGCCCACACACGCGAGCAAACGGAGTCATTAGGCAGGCGCGCGTAGGCGTGGTTATTATTCACGCACGTGCGTGCGTGCATGGAGATCATCTGAACTGAGTCGGATCGTAGATTTCGTTCCATCGATAATTGTCGTGGACCGTTAGAAAGCGCCCCAGGAACAGATGCTGTTTTGTAACACAGAATTTCGTGGTTAAGAGCGCGTCGTCGGAGGGTGTCCGGGGTGCACAATGAGAAGGTGAGGAGGGAATTATGTAAAAGGACCACACACGGCGGACGAGAAGACCAACGGTCGGTGAGTGGAGGGAAGGAGGGGGAATGTATATGCCACGGGATTTACCTTACAACCGAGAGAGTTTGAATCGCTCGTTTAGGATGAAAAGGATCGGTGGCTCGACAGATACTCTTCCACGTGGGTGGCGTGCGGAAGGATCTCACTCCCCACACTCCCGTGTTCCTGAAGATATACCCGTCGCTCGGCCTTCTTCCTACCTAGAGACTCCAACTTTGAACCGGATAACCGAAACAAAATATTAATATTATATATAAATTATCATTCTGAGGGACCACAGTCTTACACATCAGTATTTAGTAGTGTCCCATTTTCATTTTCAAAGGCCACTGTACTTTTAAACATTTTGTTGACATCCCAAATAAGAAGAAATCCCATTATCAGAAATCATTAAAAGTAAATTTAATTCTCTGTCGCGGTTTCTAAATTGAATAAGACCGCGGGAGTAAATTCTACCGATGAATCTCAATAGACTTGAACGTACGAAGCGGCGCGCTATCCATCACTGGTCTCTTCCTCCCGGAAGCCGCGAGCGAGCGTCTCGAAAAGGTCAAGAGTAAGAGAAGCCAGAAGGCGGGAGGAGGAAGGTGAGAGGAGGGACGCAGCCAAGCAGGGAGTTATAGAAAGGAGACTGACGACTAATAATGAATAAGAATAAGCGAGAGCAACGACAGTACAAATGCTTCACCGATTTTACCTCTCTAGCGGGCCATTTTTTGGAACCTACTTTGACAAATTTTCTGGCTCTATTTGTATGTATATTATTTTTTAGGCCATTTCTCTAAATATTATTTTGGGGCCCTTTTTCAGACATTTTAGTTTTACCATTTCTCGAAACTGTTATTATACTCAATCCTTATGTCGATTACGATTTGATTTGAGTATTGTAGATTTAAATTTAGTGATCCAGTTTAGTAGGTTCTGACTGGCCCAGATTTAAAATAGAAGCATGGAGAAACCGGAGTGGAGCCGTACATTCCTGGGAGGATGGAGTGAATCGTGACTAGTCGGGCACACGGTCATACCCAGTCGCAGCTTCCCTGGGCAATTGTCCTTGGACATAGGATAAAGCTTTTCCACCCATTTGCTTTTTCAACCCTTCTATAGATTTTACATTGGTCAGTCGAAATAATAAGAATTACTTCAATTTTTCTGTTTTATGGTTCTTCCACTTGGCCTCCTATTGCTAACATATGCTTATGTATTCCGTTGTATTTATTATACAGTATGTCCCACAATGGATTTTCCTCCGAGGATGTGAAATTCTGAGCAAAAAGTTCATTGTCCAAGTTTTTCTACGATCATTACTAACGAAGTTATTAACGAAAACGCGTAATAACTACGCCTCTTACACGCGATTGGTCCACACTTTTTCGTTTATAACTTCGTCAATGGTGATCGTAGAGAAAAGCAGAAGAGGAACTTTCTACTCAGAATTTCATCCTCTTTTTCATTCTCATATTAAATTTGTGCATTCTTGGACACACTGTCTTAGTTATTTAAGTACATGTAGCCTGAAACTTAAGAACAGCAGAGAAGTTCTTTCAAACGAAAGAACAGTTGTATTTAGTGGCTTTAATAGTACTTAAGGCGATTGTTCGTATTGAATGATTGCAGTTGAACAATTGAACCCACTTTGGACACCTTGGAAATTATCCTAAGTACTCTCCATCGGTTCGCACGATTAATAAACCCTCTTGAGACATGGCATCAATTACGTCAAAGGGGAATATGATTTTTGATATTTTTCGGATATTCTAGGTCCGATTCTGAAATGTTAAAACTTCTAAAGAAAATCAAAGATGTACGACTATGCAAGTAATATATTATGAAAATTTTTACAAATTTCTCCATCCACGA